GTCCTGGGATCCAGCCCACACTGGGCTCCCTGCTCAGCGGGGAGTCTGTTTCTCCCTCTTCCCCTCCCCCACAGCTTGTGCTCTCTCTCTGCTCTCAAATGAATAAATAAAATCTTAGAATAAAAACAATGTTGAATAAAAACTAGATACAAAAAGAGGTGGGCGATTTAAGGTAAACCATTACTTGTAAAAAAAAACAGTAAACACTAAATTAGTGTAATGAAGAAAACCATGAAAAAACAAATACACAAGTAATAGGGGCGCCTGGGTGGCTCAGTTGGTTGGGCGACTGCCTTCGGCTCAGGTCATGATCCTGGAGTCCCAGGATCGAGTCCCACATCGGGCTTCCTGCTCGGCAGGGGGTCTGCTTCTCCCTCTGACCCTCTTCCCTCTCATGCTCTCTGTCTCTCATTCTCTCTCTCAAATAAATAAATAAAATCTTAAAAAAAAAAAAAAACAAATACACAAGTAATAATAGTATGGAAATAATCTCAGATACAGAGGGGAAATATATTTTGTTTAAAAAACTGCAAGAGAAGGGCGCAAGGGTGGCTCAGTCTGTTAGGTGTCCAACTCTTGATTTTGGCTCAGGTCATGACCTCAGGGTCCTGGGATCGAGCCCTGAGATTCTCCTCTCCCTTTCCCCCAGCTTGTGCACGTGCTTTCTCTAAAATTAATAAATAAACCTTAAAAACACTGAGAGATAAATTTGCCAAACTCTACAAATAAATCTGAAAACCTGGAGGATTTTTTTTTTTGAGAGAGAGAGAGAGAGAGCAAGTGCACATGCAACTGGGGGGGAAGGGAGGGGAGAGAAAATCTTAAGCAGGCTCCACACCCAGTTCAGAGTCCCACGCAAGTGCTTGGTCTCACAACCCTGAGATCATGACCTGAGCCAAAATCAAGTGTCAGACTTCCCACTGAGCCACCCAGGAGCCCCAAACCAGAATGATTTTTATGAGAAAATATTAAATACCCAAACCGACTCCAGAAGAGATAGAAAATCAAGGTACCCTCATTACAGTATAAGATATACACAAAGTTGCAAAAAGCCATCCCACATAAAAGTACCTAGTTCATGTGTCATTTCTTTTACAAAGAATGACTGCCATTACATCAACTTTCTCCTTTATGTATCTCTGTACCTTATATATACCTCTATTATAGCCATCCCATTGCCTTACAACGGTTTGTCTTTCACTCCTTAAAGAGGGACAATGCCTATGTTATGTTAGAATCTTCCATTCCAACCATGTGCCTAGCACAGAGCAGGCACCCGAACAATACTTGCTTAATGAAGGCACACATGGTCCAGCATTTGACAAGGTTCTCTGGATATCTAATGATCTCTGTAATTCTCAGAATTTCATAAATGTCTATTCACTTTTAATTTTTAAAAATATTTTAATAAACAATTTCAAACGTGAAAAATAGTGAACAGTAATATAATGAACCCCAGTGTACCCATCATCCCACTTCAGTAATAATCAACATTTGCCCAATCCTGTTCTATTTATCTCCCACTACCACCACTGGATTATTTTCTCTTTCTTTCTTTCTTTCTTTCTTTCTTCTTTCTTTCTTTCTTTCCTTTCTTTCTTTCTTTCTTTCTTTCTTTCTTTCTCTCTCTCTCTCTTTCTTTCTTTCTTAAGATTCTATTTATTTATTTGAGGGGCCCATGTGTGGCTCAGTTGGTTGAGCATTAAGGAAGATGCTGAGCCACTCAGGCGCCCCACCACTGGATTATTCTGAAGCAAATCTCAGACATCACTTTATTTCATCTGTAAATACTTCGGTATATAAACCTATTTCACAGTGAAAAGTTCTAAGCAGAGATAAATTATTTTCTATCAAATCACTGAAAAAGAAAATAATCATAGGAAACATAAATCAAAAGAGAACTTTGTATTTTTAAATGAAGAAACTTACTTGCTTTTTAATATATAAAAAGGAAGGTTTTAATCAATTAATTTAATAAACATGTATTTCAAATTTTCAGATCACAGTCAATTAAATAAAGAAGTTCTTTATTTACAAAGGTAAAAAAGTACCTCCGCAATGGAGAAGTCTGCCAGGCATCACTTTAATCAAATGATCAAACATGTCATCATCAATAATGTGATAAAAAGACATGCACTGAGGACACATCACTTACACAGTATTCTTGTCAAAAATGCTTAAACCTTAATCTAATCAAAAGTTCAAAATCAGACGCAAAGGCATTCTGCCAAAAAAAAAAAAAAAAAGGCTTAGATGCCTGTAAAATGCCAATGCATAAAAGACAAAAGGCTGGAGTACTTCTCTAGATTAAAGGAAACTAAAAAGTCATGACAAGTAAACGCAATGAGTGATCCTTCATTAGACCCTGTATTTAAAGAAAAAAAAAAGCTCTAAATACAGAACCTTATTAAGACAAATGTGAAAACTTCAATATTGGCTATATACTAGCTAATATTGCACTAGTACATATATATGTAAAAAAATTATATTTTGTCTATGTAGCAGAATGTTCTTTTTTTTTAGATACATACCCAAGTATTTAAGGGTGAAGTGCTTTGATGTCTGCAAAGAAAAAAGATTATATATACGTGGTAGACAGAATAAATGCCCCCAAAGATGCCTACATCCTAATCCCTAGAACCTATGACTCTGCTCTCTTACGTGATAAAAGGGAATTTGCAAGTGTGATTAAGGATCTTAAAATGAGAAAATTATTCTGGGCTACCTACATGTGCCAAGGTAATCACAAAAATCCTTATGAGTAGTTAGGAAGGACAGTCAAGAGTAGGACATATAACCATAGAAGCAGAGGTCAGAGTGATTCAAAAAAAAAAAAAGTGATTCTAGAGACTGGAAAAGGCAAGGAACAGATTTTCCTCTTGAGCTCCACAAAGAACACACTACTCGCATCTTGCTTTTAGCGCTGTAAGATTCATTGTGAATATCTGACTTCCAGAACTGTAAGATAATAAATCGGTATTGTTTCAGACCACCAAATCTGTGGTAATGCATTATGGCAGCAATGAGAAACTACTTGAAAATGAATGTGAAAAACAAATGTGGCAAAGAAAGGTTAACAACTGGTGAATATAGGTGAAGAATGTGTTTATTGTATCATTCTTTCAATTTCTGTCAGTTTGAAATTTTTCAAAGTAAGTTGCAGGAAAAAAAAAAAAAGAGAGAAACTCTTCATAAGCAATAATAAAGAGACAAAAGGATAATCCCCAAAAAGGGCAGGGGGGAGAAAAAGAAAAAGTCAAGTAGTATAGAATCTTAGAATTATAGGGGGTGTACCTCAGTAACCTAATAGTTCCATCTTCTAACAGATGTGGGAATCAAGGTACAGGAAGCCCAAGTGCAACTTGAACCCAGATCATGACTTCCAGGGTTTTCGGAGTATGTCAAACTACCTCCCAGAAGAGACGGATGCACAAAAAGCAAGAGTAAAATGTTTCAAAGGAGAAGGATTCAAATAAGAACAGGGAGGGAAAGCAGCAGGTGTCCCAAGGACAAAGAGGTGGAGGCTGGCTAGGATGTGAGGTGTGCATCCTCAGCACGGGGAAAGCAGCTTGCACTTAAACCAGAAGCCGCTGGTACTTGGAAGACCACAGGGACTTAGGTGCGCACGACAGGAGCAGTGCAGAGAGTGCAGAGAGCAGGGCCCGGTGAGCACATGCCAAGCATCCCACCAAGGGCAGTACCCTGGGCAAATGAAGTTGATCTTCTGCTAAGAGGTGACTTTCCCTTAGCCAACGCCCAACAACCATTTACACAGTACTCAAAGTTACTTCTGTTTATCAACTTTTTTCCCTAAAGCAATCTGGGCAGGGAGAAAAGGGAGGGGAGTATTTTGACCCATGTAAATGGTGACTCTAAGTTTCAGTTTATACCTATACTGGCATAATTATTTATGGTCAGGAAGTTTCTAAGAGATGAGTTTTGGGCAGTGGGAGGACAGGAGCAGACAGAGGGGAAAGAGACGGCATCCATTACCACTGGTGCTCAGCGTCTGAGAGCAGTCATCCACTGAGGGTCCTCTCCTCTGCTTCCAACTCAGGGGCTAAGCCCCATTCCCACATGAGTCCAGAAACACATAAAACCACCTTTAATCTGACTGTGGTCACTCCGGTCTTTGAGTAACAAATGTTACTTGTTTATCCTCAAATGTACATTAGCTCTTGGCTTAAAAGTCTGCTGGTATCTGGCAAACAGTACGCTTCTTTTCAAAATTTGATGTTAAGTTTTGAAGTTAATTGATTTTCACACGGCATACTGAACGTTTTATATGTATGCAAGAGATGACTGAAGTTTCAAAAGTCCACATTCCTGAATGATCCATAGAAACACCAGAATTCTATCCAATGCTGCTATCCTCAATGCTCACAAAAACAATTAACACTCTCCTACCCTACCTCTCTGGCTCCCAACATCCCAGAAATGACCAGAATCTGCCTCCCTTAAAGTCAGCTGAGCCCTGTCTGGCCTTCTTTCTTGAGTCTAAAAGAAGCAATCTGAATGAAGAGGAAAGAAAGGAAATATGAAGCAGGCAGACAGATACTGTGGAGAACTTACTGCCATCACCGGGTAGAACACTGAGTTCAATTTATCCTGAAGAAAACTATTAAAAAAGAAAAGTTAGGTATTTGAAAAACCATTCCTCCTCTCTGAGCTCTGGCTTCCTTTAAAAGGAATTTGTATTTAATAGCTCTACAATCCTTTCCAGCAACAAAATCTGATGATGGGTAAAACGGGAATTTAATTTAATCAAATCACCATGGAAGAATGTTTTCTAAAGTTTTCTGAACCCAAACTATAAGTATGTAGACCCCATCTGAACAATTCATCCCCTCTGCAAGGAAAATTGTAAGTTAGTCAAAGACAGTTCATGTTCCCTGCCTGCTTGTTTTTTGAAAAGCTGCTTCAAGTAACAACAACAACAACAACAACAACAAAAATAATGCAAAAAAAAAGGGCAAAGAAACCGCAAAAGTAATACTTACCTTTGCGTCATCTATGTCAAAAACATCACACCAAGGAGATTTAACACCTTTAATTGCCAGGTCAAATGAACAGGTAAAAAAAGCTACCTGAATTAAATCTGGGGGGGGAAAAAGAAAAGTAAAATTCGTGAGTCACTGTTCTCCATAATCTTCCAAAGGCTAAACAGCTACAGAATGCCACGTGCAGTATGGTCCAAGGATCTGGGTGGGTTCAGCACAGAGGAAAGGTGATTCGGCTTTTTCCTATCAGAGAATTAAGACCCACTCTGTACAATCCAAACAGGCGGACCTGGAGCTGTCACGAAGAAACCATGAGGAGGTAGAAATTTCAGTCCAATGAAACGAAGACATTTAACTGGTAACTAAAAGTTACAATTTTTTCTGGTTTTAAAAGTAATGTGCTTGGGCCACCTGGGTGGCTCAGTTGGTTGAGCGACTGCCTTCGGCTCAGGTCATGATCCTGGAGTCCCGGGATCAAGTCCCGTATCGGGGTCCCTGCTCAGCGAGGAGCCTGCTTCTCCCTCTGACTCTCACCCTCTCATGCTCTCTCTATCTCATTCTCTCTCTCAAATAAATAAAATCTTTAAAAAAAAAAAAAAGGTAAAAGTAATGTGCTTGTTAAGAGCATGTTTGCCTACCAAATCCAACAGAGTCTAACCCAAGAACTCGCTAAATGTAACTTGATTTTGTTCATTTTAGAGGGCTGCAGGAGGGAAGCTAAAGTTCTAAAAGCTTTTAGTTCCCATCTGAAAATGAGGAATAACAAAGTACATTTACTGAACAGTTCTCTTAAGGACACGACACTTCCTGTTCTAACTACTGGGCAGGATTACAGAGAAGGGTACAAAACGGAGCGAAGACTGCAGAAGGTGGAGGGGCAGAGTAAACCAGGGTCAGGAGGGAGGGGAACCAAGGGTCAAGAAGGAGAGAAACAAAGAGGGGAAATCACAGGCTGCGGAGACAGAGCGTGCTTAGAGCACCCGTTTTTTCAGACTCCGTTGCTCAGGCAGGCAGCAGATTTCAGATTAAGTTACCTGGGATTTTTACATTGCAAATGAGCTGATTATATTACCTTTACATACCCCTGGGTTTTGAAGAGAAGGGTAGGGCACCAAGTCCCCGGCTAGGAGAGCTGGCTGTGCTATCCGGCCACAGGCATGTGGCTGCTACTCAATGCTACAGAGAAAAAGGAAGCCACTGCAGGGCTTTTTACCTTCAGTGTTTTTCCTCGTTCCCAAGGAACCAGGCTGAGTTTAAAGAACTTCCCTAAGGCCGTATATAGTACAAAAAGAATATTTAATTGAGAACACAGATAAAAGCCATTTGAAAACTTTGCTTGGGGGGCACCTGGGTGGCTCAGATGGTTAAGCATCTGCCTTCGGCTCAGGTCATGATCCCAGGGTTCTGGGATCGAGCCCCACATCAGGCTCTAGCCCCGCATCAGGCTCCCTGCTCCACAGGAAGCCTGCTTCTCCCTCTCCCACTCCCCCTGCTTGTGTTCCCTCTCCCACTGTCTCTGTCAAATAAATAAATAAAATCTTAAAAAAAAAAAATGAACATTAAAAAACCAAGATAAAGGAAGACACTAGAAAATAGAATAATCTTGGAGTGAGAGAGGATTCCTAGGCAAAAGACAACACTGAAATGCCAGGATGAATACAGATGCGGCTATATGAAAGACATAATGGGTACCAAAGACATCTAAACCTAAAAAGTGAGCAACTAATTAAGAGAAAACGTCAGCAATATACAATAAGCAAAGGATTTATCCTTTGTCAAGCAAAGTTAAAGGATATGTAATTAATATGTAATTAATATATCTATAACACATAAAGAGCAAGAAAAACATAAAAATAATCTGACAGAAATGGACAAGATAAGAGGCAAACCCCAGAAGGAATGCAAGTAGCTAGCAGACACAGGAAGACATGCTCATCTTCACAAGTGATTCAAGAAATGCAAATTAAAGCTGGATACCATTTTTCATTAATCAAATTGGCAAAAAATCAAAATGACTAATAATAGCCACTGCTGGATAAGACAGGGAAAAATGAGCATTCTCATATATTGTTGATATAAATTTCTACACTTTCAGAGAACAATTTGGAAGTATATGTCAAGGTGTAAAATATTCATTGTCCTTAACCCAACAGTTCCACCAACAGTTATTCACCTTATAAATTCTCAAGGGCAAAAACCAGATTATAAAAATGTTCACCGCAGCATCATTTGAAAGGGTGAAAAACTAAGAAAAACCTCAGTAGGAAAATGATCTCCTACAAAAAAATTTGCAGTGTATTAGCTCCAGTCCCCTCCACCAGTAAAATCTGATGGGTTAAATAAGTTTTTAACTATCACTGACCTAGAACCTGAATCAGATATCCTATGAAATCACATGGAATTCAATAAAATGAGACAGATTTACATGAGACAGATATACTGCTAAGTAAAAATGAGTTACAGTAAATACATACATCATCATCCCTCTATGTTAAAAACAAAAGGATTTAAATAGCTACAGTTTTGAGCTGTTACTCTGCCAGGCATTGTACTAATGCTCTGCATGAATTAATTTCATATAATCCTTGCAATAATCCTAAAAGGAAGGTACAATTCCTATACCCATTTTTTTTTTTAAATTTTTATTTACTTTTTGAGAGAGAGAATGACAGATAGAGAGAATGAGACGGGGAAGGGGCAGAGGGAGAAGCAGACTCCCCGCTGAGCAGGGAGCCCGATGCGGGACTCAATCCTGGGACTCCAGGATCATGACCTGAGCCGAAGGCAGTCACTTAACCAACTGAGCCACCCAGGCGCCCCCCTATACCCATTTTATAGAGAAAGAAACTATGGCCTAGAACTATTAATTAACTTGTAAAGACCCCAGAGGTAATCAACAGTATAACAGTGTCAAGATTCAAATACAAACAGTCCAATTCCAGAACCCATGATTTTCACCACCATACTTAAATTGCCCCCCAAAAGAAGTTGCTCTCAGTTACCCCATCAGTAAAACACAAATAATCCGAGACTAAAAATCATTTTTTAAAAAATCTTCAACAGGGGCACCTGGGTGGCTCAGTCATTAAGCGTCTGCCTTCAGCTCAGGTCATGATCCCGGGGTCCTAGGATCAAGCCCCGCAACGGGATCCCTGCTCCGTGGGAAGCCTGCTTCTCCCTCTCCCACTCCCCCTGCTTGTGTTCCCTCTCTCATTGTGTCTCTCTGTCAAATAAATAAATAAAATCTTTAAAAAAAAAAAAAAATTTTCAACAGTCTAACCCCCCGCTAACCGAGTAATAGCTAGATACTGGGATAGTTATATAAAGGAATTTGGTACATAAAGTTTAAAATGTAGGACTAAAATCACACACATTAAATAAAAAATAAAAAGTTGAGGAACCCCTGGGTGGCTCAGTGGGCTAAGTGTCTGTTCATGGTCATGATCTTGGGATCTAGTCCCGTGCGTCAGGCTCCCTGCTCTGCTTCTCCCTCTGCCCTTCCCCCTGCTTGCACACGTGTGTATTATCAAATTTCAGACTGAGATCATAAAAGTTTTAAAACCTGCAAGACAATATCCCATTTATGTATAGAAACATAAATATAAAAACTGACATAGGATGATTTAAATGTTCAATTCATGACAATGACTACAGCTGGAAAGAAAAGAAGAGAAATAAAATCCCGGAGAGGCACCAAGGGACCTCAATTCATTTAAAGCAACTAATTGCAGCATGTTAAAATTTGATAAAATTGAGTTGTGGGTATATGGACATTCATTCTTTATATCAGCCTTTATTATTATCTACAGGTTAAATTACTTCCCACGAAAATAATTTTTTTTAAAGATTTTATTTTTAAGTAATCTCCACACCCAATGTGGACTCACAGCCTTGAGATCAAGAGTCACCTGCTCTATCAACTGAACTAGCCAGGCGCCCCTAAAATAAATAATTTTTAAAGCTCTGTAGATGGCCACAATGTTTAGCCACTTTGGGGAAAGAGAAAAAATTCAATTTTAAATTCTAGTCCAGGCATCTTCACTTTTTTGATGGCTTATAAAGCATTCAGGCTCCATGATTCTAGTCTATTATTTTCCCAACATCTCCTACTTCTAGCTTTTTGGAAATTTATTCACAATAGAAGAAATCCACAATCTTTGTATGTATGTCAACATTTGCTGTATGAATTATGAATTCTTAGAAATCAGAGAAAAATCCCATTATTTTTTCTACATTTCCTGTTGGTAGGTGAGCATGTGCCCTGCCTTCCCACCTGCTTTCCCAGCATAGTTATTAATAGTGCCCGCTTCACCGCCTGGTGTACCGGGCTGCATGACAAAGTGCAACAGGCAGCCTGTCCACCGCAATACCTTTTGACAGACACAAGTGCTCATTCTTTTTAGCATCTCTAGGCTTAAAAGCCTCAAAGAAAATATCCAAACTACTTTGCTTTTTTCACTTTCTAATACCCCTCCTCAAAACATTAACACATACACACTTCTGAATGGCTTCAAAAGCTAAGGAATTTTATATAATTTTCTACTTTTATCATTTTATGAGAAAATAATTTAAAAAATATAATTTATATAAATAATGCTTAGAGTTGAAGCTTTATATACCACTGCTCTCAAAAAAAAAAAAAGATTCCAGGATATAGCAAGAATCCTGTACATTAATTTACATAAAGCTCAAAGAAGTATATGAATCTCAAAACAGTAAGCATGAGGGCGCCTGGATGGCTCAGACGGTTAAGCATCTGCCTTCGGCTCGGGTCGTGATCCTGGGATCGAGCCCCACCTGGGGTCCCGGGATCGAGCCCCACATCGGGCTCCCTGCTCAGCGGGGAGCCTGCTTCTCCTTCTCCCTGCCGCTTCCCCTGCTTGTGCTCTCTAATAAAAAAATTTTAAAGATCTTTAAAAAAAAAAACAGTAAGCATGAGATATACAATTTTCTTGACCTAGAACGTATTATTTTCTTAATGTAAAATCAATTGTGGGCCTTTAAAAGGAATTACTTTATGCTTCCATATCTTCTCATTTTCAGAGTTGAGAATCATTTAAATTATTTCAGAGTTCGAATGAAAGATAATGGGCACATTACCCGCATTTAAATTGTTGACTGGCACTTGCAAAGTAGCTGCAACCTTTTTTAAAATGTTCTGCATTTCTGGTCCAGTTTTGAAGGCTTCTACATGATAAAGAGCCGTAGCATTCTTTTCCACTTCAGTTAAAAACTTCTCACAATGATCAAAGAACCTCATTAGTTTATCATTAATTCTTGGAGGTCCACACTCCATGTCTGAAACAGAAAAAAAAATTGTTTATACATATTTATATACACACCATCAACATGAATGATAATCTCAGATTACTGAAAATTTTGTTTCAAGTGTGAAAAAGAACACTAAAAACCTGCTTATTTATTGGCATGTCTGAAATAAGCACAAACTAATCAAGAAAGACAGGGCAAAACTATTCCCCATTTGTAATGACGGTAATTCATGAGAGTATATGCTAGAAAAGACTAAAGAAACACAGAATCAGAGATGAGATGTTACGGCATTACTACACAGTGAAAAAAAGGGTGGTTGAAATAAGTATTTTCTGAAAGAAAACAAAAATAATTAGACATGAAAATCCTAAGAAGTGCAGAAATGTGTTAAGTACCGTTTCTGTCGGGCACAGAAAACTTGAGAAAGCAAACTGAAAACTAGCAAAGTTCCTAAATACAATGTTGAGAGACTAATTCAGCAGATCAAATCTGTTTTTCTCCTCTAAGCCAAAGCCTACATAGTGTATTTTATTTTCTCTATTAACTTTCCCAACGCTATGTTACTTTACAAAAGACTGCTTTGGACAAAAACTACTGACAACAGCACAAAACATCAACATTTCAGGTCTTCTGTATTTCATGGTGCTTGGTGCTTCTGCTTTTGGTTTATTTTATAACTAAAGCTCCCAGATGCTTTCCATTTAGAATCACTAAGTTCCATTATTTTCCCAATTTGGCAGCAAATACGTATTATAAAAGCATCTGCAATCATGCCTCAACTACTGGGGTGCCTTTTAAGTTTTTTCAGTCATATTCAAAACACATCGATTTCAATCATTTCCCCAATAATTTACCACAAAAAGAACACCAAAAATACTACTGCTGTATACAAAGTGAGAAAATCAAATCGGTCATAGTGTTTTGCTTTGGATGTGGGTGTGAAAAAACATATTTATATGTATGTGTGCGTGTCCGTTTCAGGACCTCCTGAAATGTATAGTTGTGCCCAATGTCACTGCCAACTGGATTACAGTAAAACAGCTTGGCTCGGAAAATAAGTGACCTTTGTCCTCTCACTGTGGCCTCAAAATACAATTTCCCAAGTGGATCCGGATTCTTTGTCCTTGCTATTAACTCATTACTGCTACTCTGTAAACAGAAACAAAGGTATTGTCCTTTTGCTGCTAAGAATACAATTCTAATTCAGTGGAGTCCCTTGAAAGCCCAGGTGTACACAACAAGCAATTACAATTATATATACATATATATAGAAAAAGAGAGAGAGATTATAATGAAATAGCTAGGCAAAGAGTTCAATCTCTAAGACCTCATCCCAGGAGGGCCAGTAGCCCCTTTTTGGTATACACTACAAACACTGGGCCACAGCTAAGTATATTCTGCTTTGAATGTTCACTTAATTTAACAGATTTGTGGGGAATTTTCACTTATATTAATCACTAAAAAGCACAATTCAACCAGTGAGTAAACAAGTCAGCCAAGAGAACCACCCACATAGCAGTAACATGACACACAATCAACAGAACAACCTCTTGGAGATGGCTGAACTGTGTTAAGAGAGGATGCTACTGGAAAAATGACAAACCAGTCTACTTCTAATTTATTTTTCACTTGGGTTTAAAGCTAAACAATGTCTCACCTCATCTCTGATCTGAAAACTGGCCAAGAAAATATTAACACTTGCTCATCTCTCTGACACAAACATGTTATACTATTTCCATCCTTACTCCTAAGTTACAGAGTGAATGGACACTGTAGAGTAAGGGTTGAGAGACCAAGCTCTAAATCAGATTTCCTGGGTCCATACCTAGCCATAAGAAATTAGGCAGATTATTTAGTGTTCCTGTCACTCAATTTCCTCATCTGTTAGGTAGGGGGAAAATACTACCAACCTCAGAGAGCTTTTGTAAGGATTTAGTGAAATAAATGAGAGGCATGCCTGGCACAAAACCATATAGCAGGCGTTAGGTGTCTGTTATTCTTAGTATCTGTGACTATTAAACATTTTCTGAGGGGGGCGACATGGATTCCAGGCCTGACTCTGGTCCTCAGACTAACCAAGGACAATCAACAAGGCACATTCTTGGGCTCAGCTTCTTCACCTGTGGAGTACAAGGGCCCCCCTAGATGATCTCTCCAATTCTGCAAAAGTAATGGAATAAATTAGGCAAGTACTGGGTGTGACCGTGATCCACAGCGACAGGGAGGGTAAGTCTACAGTATACACAAGATCAAAACAGAGAAGAAAGCACAGCAGTAAAGAAAGTTTGAGTCGCTTCCTGAAACAGGATGTGGGCCCAGAACCAATACGTCATTTAAAAAAAGTAAAAGTAGGTCTCCTCTCCTGTCGGGTCCCCCAACGCCCGCTACCGCGTCCAGCCCCTGGAAGGGGTCCACTGCATCCCTGATGGACCGACAGAGGAAATGTGCATGCGGACAAGGGAGACAGACCGCCCAGCCCCGAACACGCGCCACGGGATGGCCACCCGGGGGACGGAGGAGTGAGACGGGACCGAGCCAGGGGACCCTGCCCACGGCGGCCCCGGGCCGGCACCTGCGACGTCGGGCGGCGGCAGCCCCGGGTGGTAGTACTGCCACAGCCCCTGCAGGAAGGCGGCGCCGCTGTCCACGCAGCGGTGTTTGGAGCTGGTGACCAGCTGCAGGCGGCCGTAGTTCTCGACGCTGAAGAGAGCCGGGAAGAGGGAGGCCAGGCGCAGCGCCAGCTGTCGCATGTCCTGCCGCCCCTTCTCCACCAGCTGCCCGTCCATCCAGTCCGCGTATCCCAGCGGCCAGTCGGCCAGCGCGGCGCCCAGGTCACGGCCTCCTGCCGGGCCAGCGCGCCCGTCGCCGGGCCGGCGGGCCTGCAGCAGGCCGTGCAGCTGCCGCAGTTTGCGGATCTGCTTGGCCGTAGGGTAGCGGGTGCCGTGGCGGATGAGGGCGACCAGCTGCACCGGGGTGCAGGTGTCCTCCAGCAGCTCAGGGTCCCTCCGCGGCGCCTCGGGGTCCGGCAGCAGCCCGGGGTTGGCATCCTCGTAGCGGGTCTTGGTGCCGAAGTAGGGGCTGAGCGCCGAGACCGCGGGGTCTTCCGGCTCCAGGAGGGAGCAGCGCGAGAGCGACGAGAGCAGCGCCACAGCCAGGGCCGCGACCGGTGTCACGGAGACCTTGACAAGGCGCTCGGGGCCGCCGAGCATGATGCGGCGCGGGCCGCCGAGCATGGTGCGGCGCGGCCCGCGGAGGGCGTCGTCCAGCCCGGGTCGCGACTTCCGTCTCCGGCGGGCAGGGGGCGGGCCCGGACGGCGCTTCCGGCCTGGCGCTGGGCCCCCAGGATTCGCTGGGCGGCGCGGCGCGGGCGCTCGGCGGGGAGCTCTTGGAGTCCCCCGCCTCCGGCTCGGGTGGCGCCGGCACGAGACGTCGGGGAGCTTCGGAGACCTGTGGCTGAGCTGGAGCTGGGGCGAGCTTCCTTGGGGCAGGCGTCTCCGGGGCCGACTCAACCACTGCTCTGCTCTTTCGAATGCTCTGGGGCGGGAAAGAGCCCGCGTCTCGGAGACCGGCCACACAGGACACCTTACAATGGCTGACTCGTGCGCCCCCGCCCCGTTCACCTACGGTGTTGAAAACGTGCTCTCTGAACCACCAGGGCGCCTGAGGCTGTTCACAGAGTAGATCCCTGGGCCCTGCCCCACCTTGCCTCCCGAAGTCCAAACCTGTTCTCTGGTTGGAGTTTGAAAATAGCGTGCAGCCAGGCGCACCAGAACCGGAGAGAGGCTCTGTTCTCCAGGAAATCCAATTCCCGAGCCTTTGGTAGTGTCTGGACCTGGGCTAGCGGAGCTGACTGAGCTCAGCGACACGGCATTCTAGAAGGATTGTGCGTGTTGGCATCAGAGGCTTTCAGCACAACCATGATCACTTGTGATGAATCATAGCCCGTGATTGACTGCATTATTAAGTATGAGCTAATCTGCTATGTGGAGCAAACATGCTCTCTATTTACCGCCACTCCAACCTGAAACTCTGCTCCGGTGTAATTACATACTCGTCAGCAGCTACGTGTTGTCATAGGTTAGCGCTCAGAATCTTTGATCCAAGGAAAAAAATCATAAATCTGAACAATACCTTGGTTTCTCCACTTGACCACCAATTTGTACACTAGTTGGGAAAAGACTAAAGATTAAAGAAGTCATCTGTTTTTGTAATGGAGCTTTTCCTTCAAAGACACTACTAAATTGCTCTTGGTAAGCCCATCTCTATCTTAACTACTTTTCACCTTGTTGAGGTGTCTCTGGTTCAGAGAGGTGTACCTCTAAATGTTAACCACTGAACAAAATGGTGTAAAATCAAGAATAGATTCCAACTTGGACGCTGCAAATTTTAAGACATTCTGTAGCAGGAAGCCATCTTTCCATTGACAGATGTTCTTTTTTCGAGATGCCACTTTGTAGCGTGAATATTCACGGTTCAGTGATATTTTCACAGAACTTTGCTCAAATTAATATTTGGTGAACATCTACCTTTTCTTTATGGACTTTCCTAACCCTTACATTTTATAGGCTGAAATGTCTGATGATATTTCGAAGTGCATTCAGCAAGCATTTGTGCCAGTTGCACGTCATTATATTTTGCTTAATATATGTGCCTAATAATGATCACCTCTCATGCCTGATCTTTTGTATACTCAGGAGGTACTAAGTCTTCCCAAAGGCACCATCCTTCCTAATGAAGTAACCTTTAGAGAGACCCTGTCTACCTGCGTACATAATCAATGACGCACATTCCTATACACTAAATTTGCCCTTAGCGTGATTTTTTTCCTTCCTCTCATTCCTCATCTGTTAATGTTATGCTGTTTTGTATATTTATTAAACCAGCTCCAGTCATTTTGTTGTTATGGCCAAGATGACAAATGAAAAAGTTAAGCAATGCCTTCATGTTTTTCACTAGGAAAAATCCAGAGGTAGTATAAAGAGGATATAAAGGTAGTATAAAGAGTATATAAGCCTTGGATCCAGATGCCAAGCTCTGCCATTGCCAGGCCAGTCATTAACTGAGTGACCTTAGGAAGTAACTCAAGTTCTCTGTGCCTTAGTTTCCTTATTTGAAAACTAGGAATATTAGAACCTACATTGTGAAATTATTGTGAGAATCACAGATGACAGTTAAAATTCACATAATAGGCTGCTATGAGTGGTATTTTTATCAATAATGTTTCAGTAATATTATATGTTATTCCTGTGCTAAGATGCATAGCTCTCTAGCAACTACACTTTATAAACTTCCACTGAACATTAAAATTACTTTCACAAGCAAGACATGCATCAAAGATCATTTCTTAACTTTTCTAATAATAAAAATCCACTCATCTTCCTTAAAATGGGTTTCTCATTCTTAAAGCAGTGAGTAGCTTTGAGAAGTTTTAAGTAGGCAACAGGCCCTGCTCATCTTTTCATGTCAGGCCAGTCTTAATTCTCTGGCCAGTCTGTAAGTTGGCTGCCCTTTTAGGTAGTTGCCCACCTTGTCCAATCAGCTAGTACCCAGGAGTTTGCATGGTATAAAACATGGTTGTGTCTTGGTAAAGACCATGGATGGATCGCTTTTCCTCCTGTGAGGTTGTGAGCATGATAGCAAATGTATTTGACAAGTCTGAGACAACATGAGAGGTAGAATGGAAAATTAGTGGTTCAGATTCCTTGAAGAGATGAGAGCATGGAACCAAGAGCACAGATAATTTGATTTGGACCAACAAGAGGAGACCTTATTTTTCTGAGAGAAGATTGGAAGGATGGATACACATGTAGATACATTTGTTGGTCTAGCAGAAGGGAATTCATGGATTTCCAGCCTGATGGCCTCAGGTTCCTCAGTGACATAGACAAGATTGTCTGAAGAGATGGGAGAATAGGATTTAGGTCTTTGGAATGTAGAAATGGATTGGATTTAGAACTGAGAGAAATAGGAAAGGATTTGCAACTGAGAGGAATGGGAAACAAGTAAAAAGTTGGTTGGCCAGCTCTGGGGATCCAACAGAGAATGAAAGACTTGAATTGCTAGTGGTTGTGTGATTTTATCCAGAAGTGAACATTATCTGTTGTGTCCTTTAGAGTGGAAAAAAAAAAGTTGAGTTCTATTCTACATTATTCTAATTTGTCTTAAGTAGAACTTTTCTAATCAATCCACTATATTAAAGAATACAGTATTTTTGCTGATTATTTATTCATAGGACTTCTAAAATAGTTGTTCCATTCTTAAGATTGCATGGTGTCAAATACAGTATTTGAAGTTACAGACATATAATATTTTTTTTAAAATGTTACTAAAGAAGAGGCTTTCTGGTGAAGAAACAATAAAGAAAGAAAAGGCTAAACGCTTTAGGGGATAGGGTAGGCTGTCTATGTAAGCATAGAACATATTGATTAAAAACAAGGTTTCTGAAGTTAGACTTTCTGGTTCTCAAATTCCAGCTTCATCACTTAATATCTGTGAGATCTTGAGCAAGTTAAACTGTTGCCTCAATTTGTTTTCATCTATAAATTGGGGATAATACCTATGTTGTGCAGTTGTTGATAAGATTAAATGAGGCAGTTTACATAAAGACTTTATATAGTTCCTGGCCCCAAATCAATTTGTAACTTTTACTGAACATAATTAAAATGTTTCTTGTTATCGCTTTTCCTTTAACCAAGTAAACCGACAGTGGCCAGTTTGTCATAGATATTTGTTATCTTACAACTACATTAAGCAACTAACTTTGTGCCTATGCCAAGAAAGTTTTAACTCTAGTATCTTACTGCCCTGCTGTTTCATCTTTCCTTTCCTGGTTATTGATTTAGTGCTTATTTGTTCTTTATTGCAGTAGAAACAGCCACCAGAAGAAGGGTCCATGTGTATGGACAGGGCTGGAGTGATCCATGTTTCAACATCAGTCCCTTCAGCCTTGCTTGAATGTAGAGGTTGCATAGATCACCAGACTCCACAGAGAAGATACCTTTGTTCAAAAGGAACAATATCAGCATCACTGGTAGCTAACCACTACATTGTTCCCCAGCGCATAAAAGCCAAGCTGAATTGTTTAACGTTGTGTTTCAGTTGATGAGTGGAACTTCACCGAACCGTGCATAATGATGGAGGTGACTTGCTTTTTTACATTCTCTGTTTTGCCTTGCTAAGGGAGTTATTTTGCAGTGACAAAGATTCTCTTCTAGTGTCTCGACGCATCCTAGGACTTTGATGTGAATTCTTCCCTCCCATCAAATGTTGTTTCTAAATCCATTGAACTATTTTGGAAACCAGATACAATGTTTAAATTGCCAGTATTCTTTCTGTGTTTTGCTACTTCCATTTAATAGGAGGAAACTGTAGCTCTTCACTTTCTCCTCCTGTTCTGTAATGATTTTCCTGTACATGCCAGTACTGTTGCTCAGGGGCATAATTTCCTGCAGAAGTCCCCTCCAAAAGATCTTGTTATCCCATCACAAAGATGAATAATGGGTTCTAAATCTTGGGAAAAAAATTTCTCTTCTTCCCTGTATTTTTCAAGAACAAGCATAGACAATAGCAATTGTTTAAACATATTATTTTTTCTGAAATGTTTTCCAAAATTGGAAAATCTCCTTGAGCAATTTGACCTTTAAGACAATGGGTTAGCTGACTTTAAAGCCATCGGTATTTCCTTATTCCCAAGAAGAGAGAACTTTCCGAGAAAAGTTAGTTATTCATTAGCTCTTTATCAGAAAGAACGTTTTTTACTTAGTACATTAATGTCAATTTCATGTTGTCTCCATAGCCCATGCATGAAACAGTCTTTCAGTTTTTGTTCACTATTTTTTAAATTTATTTATTTATTTGACAGAGAGAGAGAGAGACAGGGAGAAAGAAAGGACAAGCAGGGGGAGCGGCAGGTAGAGGGAGAGGGAGAAGCAGGCCCCCTGCTGATCAGAGAGCCCCAACATGGGGCTTCATCCCAGGACCCCGGGATCATGACCTGGGCCAAAGGCAATTAACCAACTGAGCCACCCAGGTGCCCCTGTTTACTATTTTCTTGTAACATAAATCCGTCTTTCTTGGGTTGAGTTACTTGCCTATATTGTATATCAGTAAGTATTAAAATCCAACATTACCTAAGCTAGAAAAGCAGTGTTGGCATCTGTGGACTCACACACTTGGTTGTAGCAACTTTAGTAAACAGGACAGTTCACACTCCAATTGAAGCAATCATTATGGTTCCATAAACGACACCCTTCATTAC